CAGCAATGCTAGAATCTAAGACAACTTCAAAAGACTTATGATGGAAAATGCTATCCACAGCCAGAGAAAGAACTTTGAAGTCTGAATGCAGATGGAAGCATACCATTTGCTCTCCTTTTCTTTTCTTTTCTTTTGTTTCTTCATTCTTGTGGTTCCTCCCATTAGTTCTAATTCTTCTTTACATCATGACTAATGTGAAAATATGTTTAATATAAATGTACAAGTAGAGCTTATATCAGATTGCACGCCATCTTGGGAAGGGGGAAGAAGAGGGAGGGGGAGAGAATTTAAAACTCAAAATCTTATGGAAATGAATGTTAAAAACTAAAAATGAATAAATAAATAATTTTAAAAATAAACAAAATAATGTTTTTAAAATAATAATGTTTTTAAAAACTGAAGGAAATACTACATTTCAATTATAGATTAGTGAAAATAAAGCTGTAAATTTTTTTCCCATCTAAGTTCATGGACCCCAAAGCCGTTGGCTTTGGCTAGAAGATGGTGACTGGTCCCCAGAAAGCATCTTAGCACCATAGTTGAAATAGGAGTTATCATTCCAATTATGGCTACCATAACTTTCAAGTCAGGACCACCAGGGGGCACTCACATTTTGATTTCACGGTACCTGATTTTTCCCCCAGGTCTTAGTACCTGCAATAATGAACTACAAATTTGATCCTCTAACAAATATACTGTATTACTGAATTTTAAGGGTATGTATCCATTTTAGTATTTTGTTGGCATCATTTCCTCCAGGATAACACGTCAGCTCAAAGCCAAATAGAATAGAAAGTATGTTTTCTGATAGCACACAGTCTGATTATTGATTGCTTGATGATTTTTAAAAATTACTTTAATAGTACAGAGCAGGTTGTTTTTCTTTAGGAGAAGGCTGTTTTTACCTAGTCCAGCACTGGCCTTGGAATCAGGACAGAACTGGCGCCAGCACCAAGCTTGGTCATTGTAATTACTTCACAATCAGGTGTTCTCTCTTCTTTCTATTTACGATGTTTGTGGTTATTTTTTCCATGGTTCTGCTGACTTCATAAATAGTGCACCAGTCCATGTGAACTTTCCTGGCCCTCCTTCAATTCTTCACAGTCATTGTTTCTGAAAAGGCAGTAATATTACATCATATTTGTATGCCACAACTTGATTGACAGGCATCTACTTCCTTTCCAGGTCTGTGCTGTCACAAAAAGTGCTCCTACTGACATTTTGGTGTACAGGAGGCCTTGTTATTTTGTCCTTAATCTCCTTGGAGAATATGCCCAACAGCGAGATGTCTGGGTCAAAGACTTTGGAATGTTTAGTAATGGACTCCCTCTTTGGAATTATGCTAAGAATATGACTAAAATGTCCAGTGTTGTAAAAGTATGTTCATTATTCTTATGGTTAAGCATAACGGACATGTCTGTGGCTCTTTGAAGTTTGCACAGCATCTATTTTATCTCATCTGAGCATCATGATAGCCCTGTGAAGTACATACTTCAGGAATTCTTACCCTCATTATACAGATGAGGAAACTGAGGTTCAGAGAGGTTAGCTGACTTGTCCATGGTTCTGTAGTTAGTAAGTGTCAGACTCAGGATTTGAAATCCAGCTTTTATGATTCCAAGATTTTCTTGACCCACCCTCCCAGCCAAAAGTGATCTCCTGTCTTATAAAATTTTCTAGAGCCTCATTCATGCCTCTTCTATGTACTTGACCCAATTCTGTTTTGTATTTTCTGTAGAATCATGGCCGCTAGAGCAAAATGGGAGCTTGGAAATTATCCAACCCTCTCTCCTCATTTCCCCTGGGGGACCCTCAGGCCCAAAGAGCTTAGCAGACTTTCCCAAGCCCACACAGGTAGTAAAAGATGTTTGAACCCAGTTTTTTGTCTCCAAATCCAGTGTTCTTTCCACTAGACCTCACCATTAATTCAACAAACCTATGAAGTGCCGATTACGTGCACTGTGCCAGCTGCCCCTGGGAAGGATGCAAGGTTAGATAAAGTTCTGGTTCTCTCTTTATGAAGCTGCCTAGTAGGGTCAGAGCTCAGTAAATGTAGAAGGGGTTGGTTCTGGAGGCAGTAAGTCCCTCCTCTGTGGGGGTCTTTACGCAGCAGCAGAAGAATCACTTGTCAAGTGTACAACAATGGTGATTCCTTTCTGGGTCTGTTGGATAAAGTGGCTGCTGAGATCCTTTCTGGTCTATCTTTCATGTCCGTGCCTTCGTACTGGCTGTCCCCCATGCTTGGAATATTCTCACCTCCTTCTCTTAGAATCCCTGGCTTCCATCAAGACTCAGCTCAGATCCCACCCTCTGCAGAAAGCCCTTCCAGCTCCCCAGGGTGCTAGCACCTTCTACCTTGTGTATTATCTTGCAGGTAGCTACATATTTACATGGTATTTCTCCCTCTCCTATTAGAACATAAGGCCTTTGAGGGCAGAGTGCCTTTGAGCGTCCCCAGCTTCTAGGACACTGCCTGACACATAGTGGGTGCTTAATAAATGCTTAGTGATTGATCGATGGATTCCAACTATCAGATTCTGTAATATTCCACGTACAAAGTAACCACCATATAGACTCATATATGTTAAGCACCTTATGAAATACAAGAAGTGCACCATGAAGTCAGGGGCACACAGGGCCATTCATTTCTTCTCTTAGACCACAGGCTGCTCCAAGATGGGGACTGTGTCTTAATTACATTTTCTTCTTCCCCAGTACCATTTATTCATTCAATCAACATTTATGAAGTGCCTACTATACGCCAGGAACTGTGCTAAACGTGGGAATCCAGAGTTGTTTAATAAGGGCCTGAGGGTGATTTAAGTGGTGGCAGGTATCCTGGATGATTTGGGGGACCTTGCCAGCAAGTGGCAGGAGCAGAATCTGTTTTATACAGGCTGGGTTATAAGAATTACAACAACAGTGAGAATGACGGTAACTAGACTTTACCCAATACTCCAAGGTCTGCAAAGTGCTCTATATATTTGATCTCTCTTGTTCATCACAGTACCCCATGAGGTAGTCACTATTATTGTTCCCATTTTACAGATGAAAAAAACTGAGGTTGTGAGTCAAGTGATTTGCTCAGGGTCAGGTAGCTAGTAAAAGGCAGGATTTGAAGGCGGATCATTCTGACTCCAATTTCAGCACTCTGTTGACTGAGGTTGTCCTCAGGATTTGATCGATTCAAAGGACTGGAGGCAAAAAAAAAAGCCACATCATTGGGAAATATATGTTCCTAAAGTATAGCAGAATTCTCATTGCCCTGCCAAATGTGCTTCTGACCCGATGCTTTCATTCTGGCAAATGCAGAGAACAGTGTCTGTTTTTAGTAAGTTGCATTTTAATCTTACTGTGAGTACATTTATTTTTATTGAATTTTATGGTCCATGAGTGTTGTGGGCCAGGCCTGACTAGAGCCGATTCCAAAGTACAATGAGTCAGTCAGACAGTTAACAAGTATTTGTTAAGCACCTAGTAGGTGCCAGGCACTGTTCTAAGCACTGGGAACACAAAGAATAACAAAAGACAGTCCCTGCCCTCAAGGAACTTATAGTTTAATGGGAGAGACAACATTTAAACAACTATGTGTTGTTCTTGTTGAGCTTTTGTTCAGTTTTCTTGGCAGAGGTACTGGACTGGTTTGCCATTTCCTTCTCCAGCACATTTTACAGATGAGGAAACTGAGACAAACAGGGTGAAGTGACTTGCCCAGGGTCACACAGCTAGTAAGTGTCTGAGGCTGGATTTGAACTCAGGAAGATGAATCTTCCTGACCAGGCCTGGAGCTCTATCCACTGTGCCACCTAGTGGCTCAAACAACCAGGTACAGACAAGATATATAGAGGATGAATTGAACCTAATTAACAGAAGGCATGCACCCTCATTAGGGGGGATGACGAAAGACTTCTCACAGAAGATAGGGTTTTAGCTGGGACTTGAGGAAGGCAGGAGATAGAGATGAAGAAAAAGAGAATTCCAGGTCTATGGAATAATCAGTGAAAATACAAGATTCAGGAAGGACCCAGCATTGATTCAGGCGGGCAGAGGTAGCTTCATTGCCTTTGCTTTGGTAGTGCTGGTTCATTTCTCAAAAGCATTTGTCAGGTTTGAAGGAACATGGGGCAGTTAGGTGGTGTAGTGGATAGAGCACCGGCCCTGGATTCAGGAGGACCTGAGTTCAAATTTGGCCTCAAACACATAACACTCACGAGGTGTGTGACTCTGAGCAGGTCACTTAGCCCCCCAATTGCCTCACCCAAAGAAAGAAAAATTTTGAAGGAACAGGTCCTCACCTCTCCAGCACTCACTTTTGTACTTAGGTCACCAGGAAGCTATGTCGCTGGTTAATCCCCTGGACCAATAAATCTCAAGTATGCCTTCAATACCTTTTATGGAAAAACTAGTCTAGCTTTCATGGGGAAGACGCTGCTCTTATCACAATGGGTATTTTTCATTGTGTGCTAATTCTAAGCCTGATTCATTGGATTGGTTTGAGATAAACCTGGTGCAGAGCAAACCCTCAGGCACTTTACAGGACACTCTGGGGGATATAGTGATAGATAAGAGGTTTTCTCTGCTCTTTGGAAGCTTTCAGTCTGGCTGTGGGGAAAGCATGCTCAGAGGTTACCAAGGTATAAGGGACATGTGAGGTACCAGAAGAGAGGTACAAGTGTAATGTGGAGGAACTCAGAGAATGGAAGTTGGGAGAAACAGATGGATGGAGAGAGACAGATGGAAGAAAGGAAAGAAGGGAAGAAGAGAGAGGAGGAAGGAAGAAAGGGAGGGAGGAAGGGAGAGAGAAGGGGGTAGGAAGAAGGGAAGGAAGGAAGGAGGAAAGAAAAAGGAAAGAAGGAAGGAAGATTGATGTGGTCATATGAGGCTGCTTGGAGAAGGTGGGCTTTGAGCTAGATCTTGAAGAGTGATTAGGAGTTGGCTAGGGCAGAGAGCTGGAGGAGTCCAAATTTAATTTTCCTTCATCTATACTTTCCTCCTAACAGGTGCTGTATTTGATGAAGACACTGGAAAAGTACTGGTTGTACAAGATCGAAATAAAGTAAGTGATGTCTTTGTTATAAATGAACTCTGTATGTTCGTATTATTCTAGGGGAACAAGAAAATAAGCCATCCCCATTTATGTTGTCCAAGATATCACTGTCCACAAATCATAGGATGCTAATAAAGAGACATTTTAAAAAGTCAACAATTAATTAAATGCTTATTATGGGCAAAGCCCTGCCCTGAGTTCTGAAAGGAAAAATTGGGGGAGGGATGAAAAGGGAAAAAGTCCTTCCTTCAAGGAGTTTACCTTCCAATGGGGGAAATAAACAGGTCCAAATATAGCCCACACATGGCACTGATCTCCCAACTGTCCCCAGGTTCTATCCCAGGACTGGGGCTTCCTATCTCATCCCAGCTGCATCTGCATTGTCTTGTCACGGTGGTATTCCCAAAGTGATAGCCTTATGGCTACTATTCAGCTCTATCAAGGTTCTTAGAATAACTCACCCCTGTAGCTCCTGAGCCCTAACTACTATCCTTCCCATATACACAAAATCAGTCATGATTACACCATTGACTCTTAAATATAAAACATTTATGAAATGGTAAGACAAAAGCAGGAATAATATTTACTCAATAGAAGAAAAGAGGAGGAATAATAAAGCTATAATAATCAATGAATAAACCTGGGTCATATTCTCCCAAGAATTCACAGTGTTCCAGAGAAGAAATGGGTACACAAACACATCTAGCAGGGAGGAACATGAATACGGAAATTTGTGCCCAGGGAGGACAATTCATGACTTTGGATGGCGGGACTTTATGTCCTAGATCTCTCTAGAAAACAATCTGCACTAAACTTCACTGACTAGGGCTAGCCTAAACCACTCCACTGCTTTCTGCTCCCCTTGTAGTCCTCCTGTCTCTCCTGCTGAGAATAGCTTCTTCTCTGCTGCTCTCAGGCGGCTGAAGTAATGACAAATTCTTTTAACACATTGCCACCCTTGGCAGGGTGCTCAGAAAGTGTTGTGCTCTTTCGGTGATTTAAAGTTCCCTTAAGTTGGAAAATTGCCAAACTCCTCAAAATTTTTGAGGGCTCTGAAGAGTTTCTCCTTCTCAAGTTGTAGCGGCCATGTAGCCTTTCCTCAGCTAGCTCTTCAAATAGCAAAGGATTCTGCTTTGTCCAATCAGCTCTCTGCAAAGTCATACCTCTTCTCACAGCAAAACAGATGTAAAACCTGTCTTTCCCCGTTTTTCTCTTTCACCAGAGAAGACAGTATAAGATAATAAAAATAAGGTTTGACCTCTTTCAGACTATAAACTATGGTAGAAAGGATAAATTCAGATAACTCTGGACAAATAGCAGTGTGATTCAGCTCTCTTCCAGTGAGCCGGTAAGCTCTCAGGAAAGCAATGCCACTAATTTACATGAAATAATTGTGTGGGTTAGATAATTGGGTTGTTTGCTGCTACAGTTCAACTGTCAGTTGTTGTAATGACCTGGTTATGTATATTACATTTAAGAGGGAAGACAGTTACTGACACTGACTTTTAGACAAGAGGTCCAAGTTTTCCTTCCCAAGAATATAGATAAGTAGGCAGAATAACTATTTGTATGATTTGTTTTTATAAGTGTTGCCAGTTCTGGGATGGCATCCCACATGTAGCCTACATGGGTCTGACTGGGGCTGTGTATGATCTGTAATAGTTGACTCCAGGACTGAAGAAGACCAACTTTAACTCTCATGTAGTGGAGAAGACATCCTGAAGAGAATTAGTGAGTGACTTTGCTTTCGTCAGGGACCTAAGTGGTGGGACCATAGTACTAGTGACAACCCCACCAACCCTCCTCCCAGTCTTCCTGCTACTGGTTCATTTTCTCATGCTTATCCTGAGTTCTAAGACAGTTAAAGAGTATGTTTTAATAACTCCTCATGGTGCATAGAAATGCATCATCTCTTTTATTAATTAGCTCCTATCTCCTCCAGTTTATAAATAAGCCAAGGAAACTTCTTTTCCCTTAAGCTTTCACTCCTCTTTCTCTCTCAAACCCTTTGTTGTCACAAGTTTATATAATAGCAATGTTGTTTGAAAATATGTTGGTTCTATTTTGTACACGTTTGGAAAATAATCTGCAGAATCTAGCTGGGCTTGCAAGGACTTCATAGTTCCCAAGAATTAAAAAAAAAAAAGAATTCCACTTTGATCAATTTAATTCCTTTTCTTTATCCCTCCCTCACTACCACCACCTCCCCGCCTTCTCTCTCACCCTCTTTCCAATTTGTTTCACTTTGTAATACGTTACTGGTAATGAGTTGCAGGAAATACAGTATTAATTTGTTTTTTTCCTAAATATTTGAGTTTAAAACTCCTATATCTAAAAATACAGTTGGTGTCATTAATAAAGATAAAATCTTTCTATCTTAAAAACAAAACAAAATAGTGTAACAAAAAATACAAAGACATTTAAATATTTCAACATTGTCTGAGTAGTGACAAAAACAGCCCAAGTCACCTCTAACCATCAACTATAAACAGATACCAACTTCTTTACAAACACTTGAACCATGGTCTTCTTACTCAGCTCTCTGAGGTTGGCAGTCAAAGTTACTCAGATGTTCTCTTCAGAATATCTTCCCCACATAAGAGAGTTAAGCTCAGTTCTCTTCAGAAAGAGGGTCTGCATGGCTCCTATCACTGTCCATCAATTTAGAAGAAGAAACTCCTCAGAGCCTTCAAGATCTGAGCAACTTGGCAGTTCTCCAACATAAGATAACTTTATGGTTAGATTATCCCTGAAAGAGCATAATATTTTCTCAGGACCCTGACAAGGGTGGCTATGTGCTAAAAGAATTCAGCAGCCTGAGAATTAGAGAGAAGCAGTTATTCTCAGCAGGTGAAATTTGAGGACCATGAGTTATCTCTAGGGTAACTTAGACATTTAAACCCCAGCAAAGGTCTCTCAGGTCTTTCTGTCTGTGTCTCACATAGTGTCTCCTAGCCAGGACACAATTCACTCCTGGTGACCTATGATCTGTCTCTCCCCAAGATTCTATTTCCTCATAAAAGATACAGTAATAACATCCATTGTCTCTATAAGAGAGGCCCTCAAAGCTGGTGTTATATAAACATACAATCAATGTCCAAATACAGGTTCTAAGACAAGAATTTTTTGAATGGATATATAGACTTTCACTGAAAAAATAGCTAAATAACATTTACCAATTAGATTACCTATTTACTGGGGAAACTTTTAGGATTTGTTTTGGTTTTATTTTGACTGAAGTTCTTCTGTGGTGCTCCATGGCATGCACATTACTTTGGTCTCTTAAAGGCTATGCCAACACAACAGAAGTTGTGGCAGATCTCACAAAGCTGGGAAGGCTTCAGGGACAAGCCTGGTGGTAGATGATGTGTCTTTATTTGAGGATCAGCCTAGCCAAATACAAAAAAAGCTAAGCACCAGAAGGCTGGCCACAAGAAGATGGTTTTTTTAGGCTCAGCTACCATCTATTGAACTCTGCCTTGGTTGAAGGAGGGCTCAGATGAAAGAAACCACAGGTTTTTGAATTGCCAAAATACTGTCAATGGACAGTTTTTCCATCGTTGGGACATTTCCCAACATCATCACTTGTTGTTCAAAACCTTCCTGACTTCCCAATAATAAATACAACATTATTACCACCACCTATTATGGTGGAAAGGCAGGATTATTTTCAAGCCACAGATGAGAGATTTAGGATATATTCCAATATAGTTTAGTAAAACTCCAGGGCCATGAGCCTACTTATCTGGGGTCTTGGCAGTTCCACTGGCAAAAACAAGGATGTTGGAAGGGGAAAGATGATTTGGTTTGGGATGTGCTGTTTGACAGCAGAGTAAGACATCCATATAGGAAAATCTAAACATTTGCCCTCATTTGTGTGCTCATTATATGGTCTTGGAGATGTTTCATCTGTATCAAGGTTCACATGTTTGTAATATTTTGTAATTTGCAATAATTTGTAACATTAAGAATAAAGACTAGTCCTGTGGTTTCTTTGATATAGGGAACTCTCAAAGGAGGAAACTCTTTCTATTAAGGCAGGTCTGTACTTTCTCTACCACTTACGATCTTAGAGACCTACCCAAGGCACTGAGTCCACCCTAATCTTCATGCTTTCCCTCGGACACTACTCCTAGTTTATTCTCTGTGTGTCTTGTTTGCACACAAGTCCCAACTAAAATCTCATCTCCTACAGGAAGCCTTTCCCAACCCTTCTTAATTCCAGTGATTCTCCTCTCTTAATTATTTCCCATTTATCCTGTAGGTAGCTCATTTGTTCATATTTGTTGGCTATAATTTCCTCCATTAGACTGTGAGCAGCTTGAGGGCAGGGACTGTCTTTTGCCTCTTTTTGCATCCCTAGTGCTTGGCACAGTACCTGGCACATAGTAGGTGCTTAATAAATGTTTACTGACTATTAAATACATGGTCGTTCACATGTTGTCTCTCCATTAGATTGTGAGCTCCTTGAGGGCAGGGACCGTTTTTGCCTTTTTTGTATCCCCAGTGCTTGGCACTCTACCTATCATGTAGTAGAAACTTAATAAATTTGTGCCTGACCTGTGGTAGAGCCTTCTGAGCCCATGTTGGTCTGATCAGCCGAAGTCAGAAACACCGTACCTCGACCCCAACCTAGTGATGTCATTTTGGTCTTTTTTGAGAACGAAGGACGACAACCGGTGGACAATAAGTGCTGATTGACTGACTGATTTCCCATGGTTACACAGCCGGTAAGATTCAGAAGCAAGGACAGAGCTCAAGCCTTCCCAGCTTCCAAGTCAGCCACTACATTGCCCAGATTTTGTTATGCTCCTGCATTGACTTTTTTTATTGATTCAGTTAGTCAGCAAACATCTATTGAGCAACTATTGTATACAAAGTGCTGTGCTTGGCCTTGGGGTTAATACAAAATTTCGGGAAGATGCAGTGCCATACTGTAGGATAAAGCACAAAAAGAGAAAGAACTTGGATCTAGCTGAAACACAAAGAACACCTACTTGCCAAGTGAA